CTTGTTCTCTTGCACTGTTCTGTATCCTCGTCTTGTTCTCTTGCACTGTTCTGTATCCTTGTTTTGTTCTCTTGTTCTTCTCTACACATCTATGAGAGGAGGTCTCGGCTGACAATGTTCATTCTCTCATAAAATACTTCTGAACTTAATTTTAAATGTCATTAAAGTCTCTCGGTATTAGCAATGTTGATATATTTGCAGGACTTTCCAGGGCTTCCCTCACCTCCCCAAGGACTCTGCCAGGACCTAGGGACTATCCTCAGGGTTCCATCAGAGACTTAACCAGGTTCAACATAGACTTCGAAGATCCATTGTCCAAAACAATGAAGTGTCAACTCGTATGTATGGAGAAAATATACATGGGCAGTAAATTACAGATGTTACTGTTACATTAGCTCAGAAATACTGTAACTTTGGTACTTCGATTAGTATGAACAAGGAGTCGTGTAGGATTAAGACAATTCCGTGGTTAGAATAATTGAAACCCGACACATACCTCGGAAATGTAAACAAGATACTGGCTTGATAATGGTAAAGGATAGAACCGAAACGTCCTCTAGTGTTCACATTTAATTTGTGGGTTAACGGAAAATACTGTTCTGTCTTAGACTACTACATCTCCCCCCCCCCATCCTCACTTTTCACTCTTAATTCAATTCTTTCAACTTGCCCATCGTTACACACCCTGGTTACATAAAGCCTTTCGTTACAGCCTCCCTACACATTTGCTAATTGGTAAGACACCATAAAGTGTGTAGTTAAGCAGCTACCATAACCAGAGATAAAGGCAGAGTTCTTCTCGGGTGGGGAGGGAAATGGTAGTGACAGAGAATGCTAGGAAAAGCCAGAGAAGATACAGATTGGAAATAGAATGCGATGAGGAAATAAGAAGAGAGAATGAGAGGAAGGTTCCTAGGCCCTTATATAGGTTCCCTTCTCCCCTCCTTCGTAACTAAGGTGTTCCCCGCGTCGTAACTAACAATGTGTCATCCCCCCTGTCGTTACTAAGACGTCATCCCGTCGTAACTAACATAACAGGAGGCTGAGATGGAACAAACGTGCCCTAAATTGCAGAAACCTGTCCGTAAGCTATAGGAAAATGGCCCGTGAACTGTGCAAATAATGAGGCCCGAGAGAGACCAAGCATCGGAGATTTGTGAACCATTTCCGGAGTGAAGGAATCGCTGTTAAAAAAAAAAGTGAATGTTTAAATGGAATGATGTGAGGTGGGGTCCTGCATGTGGGCACATCTATGTGGTACCAGGTAACGTAAGCCAGGATAATGTAATTGTTATAACATGCTGGTCATCGACTTCCCTCTACAGTTACGAAACACTATGTGAATATAATAATGGTATACAATACCGACAAGTTGATAAGAAATACGTGCAACAGTTAGGTATCTTTATTACGAAACGTTTCGCCTACACAGTAGCCTTCTTCAGTCGAGTACAGAGAAGGCAGCAGAAGCAGTAGAGATGTAAAGACGATGTAATCAGTCCATCACCCTTAAAGAGCATGTCAACATTCTTAACGAGCAATTAAATAGTCTTAACCAACAGTCTAAAAGGTACAAAAAGGCACAATACCGTGACTGGAACAATACACAAATAACCCGTACATAGGTGACACAATGATGACATTTCATCTATATCAACAGATACAGTCTATACTAACATGTAAACAGTCTAAAAGAAGTGGTCAACAGTCTACATGAAGAGGTCAATAGCATAAACAAATAAGTCACTAATCTAAACAATGAAGCCATCAGTTTAGAGGAGCAGGTCAATAATGGCATTAATCTAGGCACTAAAAGCTCCGTGACCGAGATAGTTTGTTGGGAATTAACACGGTCGATGGACTCCCAGTTTAAGTAGTATAAGCTTGAGATTACACACCTCTTGAGTTTAGTAGTGTAGAAGTATGTGTTAAAGTGGTCAGTAGATGTAGATAGACCCACTCTTGTTGTCTTAAGAGGCACGTAAGTTACCCCGTCTTCTGATAACATGTTCATTTGTCCATAATTACAATCGCATTTGCTTTGTTTCGTAAGGTGAAGTCTAGAATCTTTCCTTATTTCATGGTATAACTTAACAAATCTTTGAGGACAATTGTGTTGCAGAGGTGTGAACTCAGCTCAGACTTCTGCCTCTTAATGCATCTGTCAAAAGGCGTGATTCTCTTCCTGTTCATCTGTGCATGCTCTTTCATGCAGGTGTTTTTAAATTAATTTTTGTTAATTTTCGTGGAAAAAAAAAATCATGAAATATCATATTCTTCCACGGAAAATAACATTACGTTCAAAAATAATTTTGTATACATTCCCACAGGGAAAAAAATGTCGTGAAAAGGTATATATTTTCGATGTACAAACTTTCCGGATATGTTGAACAAGATTTCATACCGTGGGATATAAGTTTTTTTTTGGGGGGAAAGGATGAAAATATTGATGAAAACGATGTTGATAAAAGTAGAAAAAAGATTATTGTATATAAAATACAGGAAAGTTGACTTGTACCGTCAGGAAACAAAATAAACTGGAAGTGAGACTAACAAGGTGTAGATAAAACACGTCAACACTGGTCAAAACTTAAGGAAACGTTTCACTACGAGTGATTTCAGTCATAATTAGGACTGAAGAATCCCCTCGTGGCCAAACTTTTCCTTAATGTTTTGATCACTGCATAAGTCTTGTATCTACGTACATAGAATTGATCGTTTCTAACAACGCTAAATGACGCACTAATGGTATGCGTCGTCTCGCATAAGTCATTTATCGCAGCAGATTAAAACAGTAACAAGACGGCTAAAATACTTGACGTAGGTGAAAGGTGGTGACGTGGGGGAAGTCTTCTTTAAGGACGTAGTACTACCAGTGTTGCTCACAACCATGACAGTATTTGTGTTGACACTCGACGCTCTCATGGTCCTATCTCTTATTCTTAACATTAGTTATATTTTAATGTTTCTTGTATATTATGTTTTTGATGAGAAACTAGAATCTCAGGTTACTCTGTAAATATCACTGCTACTGTTACTACTATTGTCGACAAATATGAAGACACAATATGATTTGTAAGCCCCATAACACGTCATAGAAAAGTAACACAATAGAGTTTAATGACAGCAGTCAAATCTGTAGATTTGTTTAAATCTAACTTGAATGATAAAGTTTACGATTCTGCCATTTACAACAGAGGAAGTGACTAACCACAATCATTCATAACACACACTACATTCATAACAGAGGAACTGACTTAGTACAGCCAATCATCGCGGTGAACCTCCGTTCTCTGATCACCTACATACACGAGGCACGTTTCTGTAACCCCAAGATACCCGTATGTTAATTCTGGTTTACATTCAGATACAAGGTGCACCTGTAATTGAATTTCACCATAACACTGTGTAATATAGTTACCTCTGCTTCTGTTAATTAAATGTTAATCAGCTCACACGTGGCTGGAAACCCAAGAGCTGCGTGCAAGTCTGCAACAGACATCCTCCACTAAGTTGCCACAAGGGTTTCAATACTACATGTAGGGGCTTCCAGTAATACATGCAGGGTGGTTCAAGTACTATAACCAGAGGTTCTTATAATGTAGAGGGTTACAGTACTACACTTTGTGTAGTATTGTAACCTTGTAGTACTGTACAAACCCCTACATCCACAAAAACAGTAGTGTGTGTGTGAATGTGTGTGTGTGTGTGTGTGTGTGTGTGTGTGTGTGTGTGTGTGTGTGTGTGTGTGTGTGTGTACACTGGGGGTGGGGGTGGTGGCTAGCGTTACCAAGACGTTGGCAACTTTTCAGAATTCCTTCATTACTTGGCTAATGGGTGTTAGTGGCATCAAAGAACGCGAGTTAGGAAGTTGCTAGGCAGGCGGCGGTAACTAGCAGGGAGAGGAGAGCACCTTAACCATGGTGCTTACCCTGATGATGAATGCTTGTGTGTGTGGGAGAGTTGTTGCAGCACCTATCCTCCCACCTGTTGTGTGTGGGGGAACTGATGCCACCTCTCCTCCCACCTCTTGTGTGTGGGGGAACTGCAGCCACCTATTCTACCATATGTTGCTCTCTCTCTCTCTCTCTCTCTCTCTCTCTCTCTCTCTCTCTCTCTCTCTCTCTCTCTCTCTCTCTCTCTCTCTCTCTCTCAGGGATGTTAGGAAGTATTTCTTCAGCCAGAGAGTTGATAGAAAGTGGAACAATTATGGAGCAGGGTGAGAGTGGACCTAATAGTGACCAGTGAAGAGGCGGGCGAGGACCTATGAATCGACCCCTGCGACCATAATTAGGCAAGTACACACACACACGTGTACACACACACACACACACACACACACACACACACACACACACACACACAGTACTAACTGATTTTTCATAACGAGAACTATCAGTTCGTCAATGAAGGGAATAAAAAGACGAAACATTCATTATAAGTCGAAACAAACTGGGAAAATTATTAAGAAAAAATATTCTGAAGTATTGTATTCGCATCGTAATACTACCCTTGTAGGTTTAGCGCTTAGTTTTGATTATAATAATAATGATAATTAGCACTGTAAAGGGGATAAGTGGCTAAGATTTTTCCTCGCTCATACGGCGTGTTGTCTGGCAGATGTCAACACACACAGTGTGAGTGATCACTACACGCACATCCTCCAGCAGGCGGCGGCGGAGGCGACGCTCAGCTCTCACCTTCAGTCTCACTCGACCCTTTACACATTCCTCCTTCAACACAAGTGTCAAGTAACGCTACAACTGCGGACACACACATGTGTAATGTATTTATTAGCGTATGACAAACACAAACACGCAGTGAATATATAATGAGTCCCAGTGACCTGTGAAACGAACTAATAATAATAATATATTATTATTATTATTATTATTATTATTATTATTATTATTATTATTATTATTATTATGGTGATATCCCAGCTCTTCAGTAAACGTCACTGTACAGAAGCATAAAAACTATCTTTCTTCCTCTCGTAGATCCTCGCCCGCTACAGGATAAGCAACTTTCAGTAGTGTTGTATCACAGTTCGTCACAGGGCGTGGCACTGTTATGGAGAGGCCACGGGTGTTACAGCCGTGCTGGTGCCGTGGACCGGGGTCAGCGCGGGGACCAACGAAGCCGGGTCTTAACGAACCCGGTGATGGCATTGTGATCCAGGTACCGTGACCTTAACACTGGCATCTGGCTTAATATACTCCACCCCTCCCACTATTTTTGTTCTCTCATAATGGCACTGGCCTCGTCTCCTCTCTCTCTCTCTCTCTCTCTCTCTCTCTCTCTCTCTCTCTCTCTCCTATATATCACGTGTCTATGAGATATTTTATCGATACCTCTCAACCGATATAACTTTTTGACAATTGGGATTTCATATTTTGACTTTCCTTAACAACTTTTACGTGCTGTTGTTATAAAGGCAGATATATCCAGCATATGTCACCTGGGCATGACGTGGTAGCAGGTACCCGCCCCCTAGTGTCACATATACATACTACTTCATGCTTTACCTACCTTGGCACTTAGGCACATCAGTGCCACCTAACTTATATATGAAGACACTTAAGTCTGTTACAAAGTTATTCAGTATGCTATCAGATCTTCAAGGTGTCAACCCTGATCATCTCCCATTATCCACGTACTGTATTACCCCCTACGGATTTAATGCTTCCCCATGGTGCCACATAATGTACATTTCCCTAACACTATCATCTGACACACACATAAGTTCCCTCGTCCACATAACTTATATTTCTCTTCCTATACCCAGATGACCAGCAGATGAAGGATCAGCAGGAGAACTGGATTAAGACGGACTGCAAGAACGCTGCTTGTGATGGCTGGATTCTCCGCTGCCTCAGATCACCCTGCCTGCATGATCACGATTCATGAACGCTTTTGTCACATCCAACTGGATGCTAGCTCTTGGTCCCCCCTTGATCACTATAGCCAAGACAATGAAATGGAAAAGTGATTACGACTTGTCTAGTGTGATACTGATAGCGGAGCCCTCAGTAATCAGGTCTGATCCGAGGAAGGGAAAACAGTTCTGATCCGAGGAAGGGAAAGCAGTTCTAATTCCATAGATCAAGAGCCCTTCACCAGTCTCAGGGTAAACTACCTCCCCTCCCCCCCCCCCCCCCCCCCGAAAAAATCTGACATGAGAATAATAGATTATACAATGACTGGACTGCTATCTCACGTGTCCATCTTATACATCATTCAACCTTTAAGTTTTATTATTTATGTTATGTATATATGATGTCTAGATACTAACAGTATCACCTCTACCTGCTAGTGTGTAGCAACATTCCTACAGTATACTGTAGGACACCGTGCGCTCTGTCTCGACCCCCAAGAACACAACTCGGTAAACACACACACACACACACACATATATATATATGTATGTACATACATCCAGCCAGGATCTGTGAATCGACCCCTGCAAACAAAAATAGGTGAGCACACAAACACACACACACAAGGAGGTATAATACAGCAGTTATAAGTTGTTGTGTATTACCAAACTGATATATGGTGAAAGGGAAGTAGGAGAAACAATAGAGAGACAGAGAGAGAAGTGAAGGAGAGAAAAAGAGGAAAAATGAGAGGGAGATGAAAGTGGGGGAGGAAAATGAGAGGAAATAGATTAGAAGTGAGGATGGTGGGTGGGGGATTTGCTGGGGCGAATTCAGCTCCTGACCCCTGCCTCTTTGCTGGCCGCTATTGGGTCAGTGTGTGTGTGTTGTGTGCTGTGTGGTGTGTGTGTGTGTGGTGGTTGTGGTGTGTGTGTGTGTGTGTGTCTGTGTGTGTGTGTGTGTGTGTGTGTGTGCGCGTGCGCGCGTTCAAGGTGTAGACGCCACTTAAGTCTTCGAAGTTTCCTTTTACGATTACCCCACCAGTCGACGATTAATTTAAAGAGGTCCAAAAAGTGGAGGCAAATGTGATAGATTACTGGTGTTATTGGTCAGCTGGGAGCCAGTCTGTGTCTACCAGTGTTACTTTTATACTTGTGGAAATATGGCACATTGGAAAACAATGACACGAATACGAAAAATTAAATGCTTGTTTTCATCAGATGCCACCGCGTCGTAGTATGGTCTGCATTGTGTTTTATTTATATAGATATTGTTTCTAATTTATATATAGTTTTTTAGATATAGAGTGTTATATATTTATTAGATGCTTGTTATAGGTTGATTTAGTTTGTGTTTTATATATTTGGTGATTTAGTTTGTGTGTGTGAGATTGTGATTTTTTAGTGATTTTGGATTGTTATGTTGATGATATTTTTTTAGTATTTTGTATATTTAGGGATATATTGAGATAGTTATTTGTAGTGTATAGATTAGGTTTTGTTAGAGAGTTAGTGGGTGTTTGTGTTATTGTGATATTTTGTGTGTTTTGAGAGGGTGAGTAGGTTTTTTATTTTGAGTGTTTTTTGTATAGTTGTTTTAGTATTGTTTAGGGAGTTTGTGTGTGTGAGTTTTTTAGGTGTAGTTGAGAGTTATGAGTTGGTTTTTGTGTGGTGATGTGAAGATAGTTTTATTGATGGTGTTTTTGTTATTATTGTGAAGATTTTGATATTTAGTGTGTTGTTATTGAGTGTTTAGTGAGGTATATTTATATATATATTTTGTGAATAGTGGGTGAGTATCAGTTTGTTTTGTTTGATAGGTTTTTTTTTTTATTTTGTTTTTGTTTTATTTATATATGTTTTTAGAGATTGTGTTGTTAGGTTGTTTTTTAGATATAAGTTTGGGTGAGTTGAGTTTGATAGATTTTTTGTATAGCTTTATATGTTATATCTGTTTAGGAGATTGATTTAGATGATATATTTATTTATATATTTTTTGTTTATATATATATATTAATATTTGTATATTTATTTATATATAGATATGTAGATTTATATTTATTATATAGATATATGTATTTATATATATATATATGAAAGGTTATTTTATATATTTTTAGTGTTTTTTTTTTATATGGATTTTTATTTATTTATATTTTGTTTAAAATTATTTATTATAGTTATTTTATAGTAATATTTGAGGTATTATATTTTTATGATAGAGTGAGATATATATTGATAGTTGGTATATAGATATATAGTATTGTTATTTATAGTTTGATGGTTGTTTATTATTTAGTTATTTATAGTTAGTGTGTGTGTGTGTGTTCATTTTTAGATATAGTTTGATTGTAATATATTTTGGTTGAGTTTGTTATAGTTGTTTATAGAATATTGTTAAGGTTTTGTTGTTTTAAATTTTTTTATATTTATTTATGTTTTAGACGAGTTTGATATTAGATTTTTGGTTTTTATATTGTGTTTGTTGGTGTGAAGGTTTTGTTTTAGATGTTATAGTTGTAGTTATATTTGAATTTTTTTTATCTATGAGTTTTTGATTTTATATATGATTTTTGTATATATTTATATATGTATTTTTATATATATGTATTGTGATTATTTATTTGTATATTTTTTTATATTTATATATATTATATATATTTATCATATTATATGTTTTTAATATTTTTATTATTTATATTTTTATATATATTATAGTTATGTATTGAGTTTTAGATGTATTTATTTAGATATTTATATATTATACTTATATATTTATATATTTATATTTTTATACTTATATATTTATATTTATTTAATACATATATATATATAGAGATAAAGATTTATTTATTTATTTACTATTTATTGATTGATTTTTATTATATATTTATTGAGAATGTATAGTTATATATATGTATATTATATATTTTTATATGTATATATATTTATTTTATGTCTAGTTATGTTAGATTTGTATATTAAGTTATATTATATTTGTTTATCATATATATATGTAGAGTTTTATATATTTATGTTGTTTTATTATATTTATGTTTTGTTTGATAGATTTTAATATGTTTTTTTTTATTTATAGATATATATGTGACTATGTATTGAGATTTTTTTTGATTGGTTTATTTTTTAGATATTGTGATGGAGATTGATTATTTATTATATTGAGTGGGTAGATATTCGGGATATTTTTGAGGTTAGTTTTTAGTTATTTTAGTTTGATTTTGTGTGTGAGTTTTATTTGGTGTGATTTTGTGATGTTGTGTGATAGATGGGATTTATTTTTAGATATGTATTTTTTTTGTATATATTTATATTTATGGTTTATTTATTTATTTGGTGTATATATGTTGTTTTATATGTAGTTTTATTTGGTATATAATTTATGTTTATATATATTATTTAATATGTAGATATTTATTTTGATTTATTTATGTATTGATTTTTTAAATTTATTGATTGTAGTTAGTATATTGATTTGTACTATTTGTTTATATATTATTTTAATAGTGTGTTATTATGGTTTATTTATATATATATATATATATATGTTTTATTTATTTATATATTAGATATATATATATTAAGGTGTTTTATATAGTTATATAGATATGTTGATTTATATATATTTATAGGGAGATAGTTATTTATTTATTATGTTGTTTTTATATATGTTTATTTGTTATATATTTGATATATTTATGTTTATAGATATATATGTATTTATATATATATATATGTTTATTTAGTTTATATATATTTTTATGTTTATATTTAGATTTATAATTTAGATAGAGATATATATATATTTTTTATGACTAGAGGGGAGCGTTTATACTATATTTTTTTATTTGTATATTATTTATATAGATGTGTTTTGATATATTATATATATATATATGTTTTTATATTTATATATATATATATTGGTATTTTTATAATATATTTTTTATAAATATGTATTTTTATTTTTTATTTATTTATGTTTTAATTTGTATTATATATATAGATTTATTTTTGTTATATTTATTTTTATATATATATGTTTTATATTATATATATTTATATAAGGTTTAGACTATTTATATTTAGGTTTTTAGTTTGTATATATATGTGATATATTGTAGATATTTATATATGTATATATATGTTTGTCTATATATATATTTATATGTATATATATGTATATTTAATAGATTATTATATGTTTATATGTGGTATATTATAGATAATTTATATATGTATATAGCAGATTTTTTTGCTATTATATATGGTATATATTATATATATGTATATATTATATAAATGATTTGTATTATTATGTATATATATAGATATTTATATATATGTTTATATATGTATTTATTATAGATCCTTATATATTGTATAGGTAGATATATATATTTATATATATATTGATATTTATATATATGTTGTATATATATTATATATATATGTATATATCATGTATATATATATATGTTTGATATATGTATATATATTTAGGTTTATATATGTTTTATATATATATTATAGGTATTTGTAGTTATATATATTTATTTATATATATTTATAGATATATATGTATATATTTGTATATTAGATATATGGAGTTTATATGTATATAAATGTATTTATTTAGTTGTATATATTTTGTATATATATTATTTATATATATATTTATGTATTATATTATATATATATATATAGGTATAGTGTGTGTGGTTGTGTGTGTGTTTGGGTGTGTGTGTGTGTGTGTGGTAGAGAGAGTGTGTGTGTGTGTGTGGTGTGTTTGTGTGGTATATATTGATATTTATTGCTAATTGTTATATTTGATGTTTATATATATATTTATAGATATTTTTTATATTTATATTTTTTTTTTATTTGGATATATATATAGTATATATAATAGATTATTTTATATATTTATATTAGTTTTTTATATAGTTATTTTTTTATGGTTATATATGTTATTTTTATATATATTTTTTGGTAAGTTTTATGTTTATATGATTTATATAGATTTTGTTATTAGTGAGATATTACTTATAGAGATAATATGCCCGTGTATTTTTTTTAGTTTTGTATATATTATATATAGTTATGAATATTGATTTATATATA